ATCACAGAGCCACATGAAAAGAAAAAATTAATACATTGAAATGTTTTTTTTTTTTAAATGTTTGACAATGCATGCAATTTGTACTTTCCTATTGTTTTTCAGTGTGAAATTATTTATACCGTTAATTAGTCAATGAGTAACGTCTTCCATAGACACCGACAAAATTAAGCATTTATATACAAATCTCAAACAATTAAAAATAGTAGATCATCAACAATTTAAGCATTTATACACAAATTTTAAACAATTAAAAATAGTAGATTATTAAAAGGAAATAAAAGAACACTCAATAATTAAAAGAGGCTCGTATACATCATAAACAAGTAAAAACACTTTGGTTAGATTGTACATAACAAAAGAAACAAAATATCAACACCCAAAACAAATCTTCTATGTATTAAAAATAAAATTACAGAAATTCGTTAATAACTATTTTAGCGAGACACTTATTATATTCAAAAAGAAGGTTCGGGATGAACAGCTGAAGCTGCGGCGTTATTAACGTGAAGAGCTCTTTGAAGTTTCCGATGATCAAAAACTTCAACTCCGACGCTAAATATTGAAGTCACCGGCCGATGATCGGACATTTTTATCTCCGATCTCTTGTAACACTCTTGTCTTATTCCTTGTCCTAACCATAATATTCTATCACACCTACACACACAAAAAACTTTGTAACAATCCCTCAAGTCTTGTTAAATTTAAAAATGACCTTGTAACTCTTAAAATGTTCAATTTAGTCACTTACCAAGCAGGAGCTCTTTTCTTCTCTCCTTCTCTCAAGTTTTCTCCGGCGTACCGATCGGAATCGAATTCGTATTTATACGTCGGAGGGNATTTGATCGGTCCTTCTCTCCATCCATCGAAAACATGTCCTCTTCGTAATTCTCTAATCAACTATTACACATGAAATTGAGTTTTGTTTTAGTCACTTAACCAAAGTATAGTCTACTAGACTGAAAACATTTTGGATTTTCATTTTTAAATGACTTAAAATATAATCAAAAGTGAACCATAACCAAAAGAGAAACCAAACCTGATCACTGTTCTTGAGTTCGTCCCATCGTTTTTGTGCGATAAGATTTCTTACTTCACTGTCTGACATATTAAGTCGGTAATTCAAATCTCCAAACCAGAATATCTGACTGTTGAAGAT